ATATGCACTGTTGACCTACGTTCATACTTTTTAATTTATTTGTACTACTATCATTCACTGAGCCTTGCTCACTCTACTTTCCTGAATGTTTTGTAGGTAACCAACTTGCGGGTCAACCCTAGGTCTGCCCAGAAGCCTGTAGCTGAACCCGTTTTGCTGCGTCGCCCAAAGTGACTCTTTTGTTATATTTTGGAAAATCCCTATGATGGCATGTTTTATTATAATTTTTGGGAACAATAGATATGTATATAGATATTGTTATTACTTAACTTTCGAGTTGATCCCCTCCCCTATGCAAGACCTCAAAACCCCTTCACCACCATTGAAAATCTCCTGGATTTCAGTGGTGAGATGGCCAATACACAAAAGTTCCAAGGCTTAACAGAGAAGGCTCAAAATGAGGCCAAACAAGGCCTAAGAGGGGGTGGACGACCCCCAACACCAAAATGGCCTCAATGAAACATATTAAGCATGAAAATATGAAACTTTTTTCAGTTTATATCTAAGCTTAAATCATCTTTCAAGTATGGCTAAGATATGGATCAAAATAAAGCCTTAAAAGGGGGATGAAGCATACAAGGGTGTAGATGACCTCTAACAGAAAAATGTCCTCAAACAAACTTCAAGAGGAGCTCAAAATAAGACCTTTTCCAGTTTATGATAAAGCTCTAAAATGCTTGCAAGTATGGCTAAGCTATGAAGCAAGATAAGCCTTAAAAAGGGAGATGAGTGTGTTACCCTTGTCGCGAAGAACTCCAGCAGCCTTTGGTCCCAAAAACCAATCCCTTAGCCTCTGAAAACAAGCTCCAAGTTGCTTGGATGGATGATGGAGAGGTTAGGTTATGAGGTGTGGGGTAATGGAGCCAAGAACCTTATACTTTGAAGCTAAAATGGAGGAGATATAGAGGGACAAAGAGGGATATATGTGTATGTGCCCTAACCTAGTTCTGAACCTGGTATATGGATAGGGGAGCCTTCCTTTATAGAGCCAAGAGAATAAAGCTTCTCTTAGAAGCTTCAAACCAAGAGCAAAGATCCTCCATACACGTGTATGGAGGATCCAGCCTGTGCCCTCCAGCTGGCACAAATGGCATCCATTCAATCTGTAGAATACACCGGAAGGTCATCGGCTAGCAAAATTGGTCAGCCGGCTACTTTAACTGGTCGGTCGGCCTTCTATTTGGTCGGTCGGCCATCTGTTCTGGTCAGTCGGCCATCTGTTCTGGTCGGTCGGCAAGAAAAATCTGCTCTGCAGGTCCAACTTCAAATGGGTATAACTCCTTCATGTGAACTCCTTTTCAGGTCATTCTTGTGTCCAAATTGAAGCCCCGGAAGTAATCTTGCCAATGGAACCAGCCTTGAATCAAAATTCCAACTGTGCAAATAGTTATGCTCGTTTTGGTAAAGGTTGCTCAGCTTCGGTCCAACCGGGATGATGCCCAACTTCAACCAATCATATCTCCCCCATTCGAACTTGGCTTTAGGAGATTCTTGAGTGAAAAACAAAGCCCCGAAAGTATTATTTCCGACGGTGGTGGCCTCATGGCTTAACTTAGAGTGCATAGATAGATAAACCTGATTTAGCGAGGACTGCTCGACTCTCTTTTCGAGATTCATGCCCAACTTCTTTCTCAACTAAGTTTCTTCTCTCCACTCCTCTTTTCTTCAACTCCGAACCTTCGAAGAAGGTGTTTTGAAAGATTTTTCAAAGACTTCATCTCTCTTTCATTCGTTTCCACTTTGTCCTTACTCAGTTTACCGAAAAGCGCATCATTTGACAAAATGTGAGCCTCGGAACATCGTTGGAACTTTCTTTCAAAAATATTTTGAAAGAGAGGTTTTTAAGATGCAAAATCTTTTGGTCCAACAATGGGGTGTGAGGTTTTCATTTGACACTCTCCTTGCCAAAGAAACCGACCTTTTGCATAGCATAGCCTACACATCTTTCACTCCCAAAGAAAACCATCAGTAACGCCCAAGTCTTAAGGGCGGTCAAAAATGGGGTGTCTACAGATGGGCCTAAGGCCGTTCTGTATTTTGTTAGGCCTAAGGCCATTTTACTACTATAATGGGCCTAAGGCCGTTTTGTACTACGATGGGCCTAAGGCCGTTCTGTATTCTATTGGTCCTAAGGTCGTTCTGTCTTATGTGGGCCCAAGGCCATTCAGTAAAGGAAAAGCGAGTGAAATTATGATTTGTGAATATGCACTGTTGACCTACGTTCATACTTTTTAATTTATTTGTACTACTATCATTCACTGAGCCTTGCTCACTCTACTTTCCTGAATGTTTTGTAGGTAACCAACTTGCGGGTCAACCCTAGGTCTGCCCAGAAGCCTGTAGCTGAACCCGTTTTGCTGCGTCGCCCAAAGTGACTCTTTTGTTATATTTTGGAAAATCCCTATGATGGCATGTTTTATTATAATTTTTGGGAACAATAGATATGTATATAGATATTGTTATTACTTAACTTTCGAGTTGATCCCCTTTTGCATTCTGTAATGGGAATGGTATATGGAACGTTATGTATGTATGGTAATGCAACATGATCGTGGCATCTAGACACAGCTCAATGAATGTTTATTCTTCTATTATTTTGCTTCCGTCCAGGCCCCAAGATTGAGAAACGTTTAAAATGACTAAGTTAAGGCCTGGAGTTAGGCCGGGCATGTCCAAACTTTTAGGGGCTGGTTTGGGTCGTGACAACGATACTGCTGTTGAAGTCTCCCAAATGGTCTCACAAACTGTTACTGGCCCCCATATGACCTTCCATTCTGTTGATGGCCATTATGTGGTGCACCAAATTGTTGTTGCTAGCCAATATATGGCCTAGTCAATACCTTGGGATTTCCATAGAGATTAGGACCCTTTTATTGTTTGAGCATAGCCCTTACATTACTTGACCCACCAAAGCATGGATGAACAGGAGCCCTTGGAACAAGAATGGAGCATCATCCTTACCATGGTTCTCTGTAGGACCAAATATCCCTAGATCTGTCCCATCATAGAATAAACAATCATTGTGGAAAATCTACAAATCACCACTACCTATGCTGTTTAACCTCAGGCCAACATTCTTTCCAATTTTTTGAATTCCATCAATCACAATGCAAAATCAAGTGCATGAAAAAAGAAAATAATCCATATTTATATTCTTTAATAATTTTTTCCCAGTTTTCTCAACAACCAAACAAAGGACCGAAAGCATAATCTAGAGTTTGGAGATTGTAAAACAAAGGACCGAAAGCACTAACCTTTGATCGATGGAGATGAAGAGTTCCAAATCCACAGAGATAAATCACAAATAGAACACCACCACTCAAATAAATCATAAAGCTGAAGCAAATTTTGAAGGATTCGATTGGTTTTTTTGAGATTGTAGATAGCGGTGCTCAAAATTGAACTTCAAAATCGCAATCGCTTTGAGATGAATCACTGAGCTGAAGAAGAATCGAGACAGAGAATTTCATATTAATTCGATACTCATGGACCAGAGAGAAAGAGAGAGCAAGAGAATGAGAGATTTGAGTGAGTGATAGATTCGAACTTCATACTATAGACGGAAGTGGGTTTTCAAATAAAGGTTTGGAGAGACGAAATAGGGTTTGTAGAGAGACAGGATTTGGAGGCGTTTCCAAGCGTCTTTTATTCATAAAACGGGACCGTTTTGATTAATAACAAATGTGACGTTTAAAAAAAGCCGTTAATTATTAGAAAAAAGTGACATTTATTAAAACACCATTAATTAAACACCATGACATTTCCAATTTCCTGTAGTGTAATGAGAAGTTAGGTGATTAAGGATGTCAGTGTGGGTGAATTATGAGAAATATAAAGAAATAAAATAAATATTTTAAATATATATTGATATATAAAAGTAAATATATGATAAATATTTATAACTGATACAAAGTATTATGTAGCATTGCCCCGTGATTGTTGAGAAACTTGAGGTTCAATTTATTTATTTTTTTAAAAGGAAGGTAACAATCTGCCTCATCAAATTCCCTACAAGTTTGAAATGGAAAAATAGATGACTCCTAATATAATATTCAATTTAAATCATATCCATTTTTAATGTTATCATTGACCTAGTGATGTGACATGGCAAATACTAAATCAAGGCAATAACATCCCCAAATCACTAGTTCAACACAAATTAATATAGCAACCAGTGTACATCCCAAAATGCAGACTCATCAAGACTATGCTCCAATAATTCCTAGTTTAAGGTAGGTTAGAATTTTTCTCCCGAATCTTTGTCAAATACATATGAACTAATTTGTGCCTACTTTTTAACACTAGAAATAAGTTAAACTTTGAGGATGTGTTTAGATCTTAAATTTAAAGAGAAAAAAAAATTCCTTTTTAATTTTTTATTTTTACACTACACAAATGCTTACTCAAATTTAAATTTAAACACTATCTTAATGGATTTGGATTCAAAACTGAAAGTCCTACAAGAAATGAGAATAGTTTGCTGATTGAAGAGAGACTCTTACCTAATAATTTGAGATGTTCTAGAGCCATATGTATGGGGACAATTTACACCTCAAAACTTTCAGGAGGATAGTGCTTCTTTTTTACGTTGGATTATTAAGAAAGTTGTAACTCTAGCCAAGTAATTTATGGAAAAATTGTTCAATAGGCAAGAGAGATAAAGGATTCTAATGCTTGTGAAATCAAGTTATTTTATTTTATTTTTAATTCCATGAAGCAATGTCATCTGCGTGACTATGGGCTTCATTATTTACAAAAGAAATTATAGGAATCAGTTGAAATGGTGTCCTAATTCAAACTTTATTAGATAAATTAATCTATGGTCAAAAACTTCAAAAATAAAATATGACAAGTGCTACTCATCACTCATCAGCAGTTTAAAATCTTGTTTCTCCAAAAGCATATTCTAGGTCGACGTATTTTCAAGTTATGGGATTTATCTACAAGGATGTATAGAAGGCTGTTCCAGGCTTTGTTGGACAAGAAATGTCGAAAAATTTATGAAATTGATCGAAGATAATCCTCGTTTGCTCTACACTTCTGCGTTAGAAAATGAAGAAACTCCTTTACATATTGCTTCTACGGTTGGTCACTTTAATCTTGTGACAGGGATCATGAAATTGAGGAAAGAATTTTCCCAAGAACTCAACGAAGACGGTTTGAGTCCATTGCATATTGCCTCAACTAATGGGCATGTTGAGATTGTGAAGGAGCTTTTGAAAGCAGATCACAAACTCTGCCTAGTTAAAGGAAGAGAAAGAAGAATTCCCCTTCACTATGCAACAATCAAAGGCAGGGTCGATGTGATAAGAGAATTGATTTTAGCTAGTGCAGATTCTGTAGTAGACGTGACAGCCCGAGGAGAGACAGTTCTTCATTTGGCTGTGAAGAACAACCAATTTGAAGCCTTCAAAGACTTGGTGGAACATCTTAAGAAATTCAACAAAGAGGATGTCTTAAATAGGAAGGATGACCAAGGGAACACTTTCTTGCACCTTGCAGTTTCAAAAAAACAGTACAAGGTATATCCGGTCTACCTATGTTATTTCTCACGTTTTCATTTTGAGAAATGTTACATAGAAAAAATTATGAAAAAGTTACCCTTTTGTCTATTCTGTGACTTTCTTGTTTAAAATTTTGTTTTTGTCCATACAATTTCAATTTGGTTTTTCTATCTTTGCTTCTAACCAGGAAAAAAATTGAGAAGGAAAATTATGAGGTAGCTGAGATCCTTTTCCCACCCCTCCCCCAAATCTTTATACCCTTGCACTCCCAGTTACACAATCGTGCCTTGATATTCCTGCGTTTCATGACTCTCACCACATCATACAATTTGGATTGTATTGGACATAAGGGGATGGGATTCTAAGGACAGAAGATCCCTAACCCCTACTCCTATGTAACTTCTCTTGGTTTGTTTGTTTGTTTTGTTTTTTTGTTTGTTTGTTTGTTTGTTTGGTTTCGTTTTTTCTAACAAGTGGTAATGAAAAATTGTGAGCAGGTGATTGACTTGGTGCTTAAGAAAAATGTTGTCTCTAATGGGGCATTAGAGATCAATTCCTTGAACAAGAAAGGTCTCACAGCTCTTGATGTTTTTCCCTTTTTCCAAAGCGAAGCAGACATTAGAGAAATCAAGGAGATCCTTAGGCAAGTCGGAGCTATGATAGCAAAAGAGTTGCACTCTTTAACACAACCTGGAATGAATCAAAATCAAGCTGTTGTTGCAATTAACCTTTCAAGTGATTGTAGACACCCTATTTTTGACC